GTGGCCCCCCAATTTTGCAGTCTATATCTTACTGGTTTTAGTTTTTCAACTCTGTCGGTCTGTTTCTATTTATCTGGTCAGATTTTATATCCCAATAACGGCTTGATTTCTACGAGCTGCGGTCGAGCAATTCACTCCGCACTACTGCCTACTTTCTTATCCTCCCATCCATACACCTTCCTGCACTCTGAATGCCCACTTCGAAGAAGCCTACTTGTTGGCCGGCCCATCAACCCAACCCTCAGCGCAACCATTAAGGCTCGTCGGATGGAGAGATCGCCAACACACAAGCAGTCTTACTCATTTCTTTTCACCATGCTGCACCATGCAATCTTCTTTCATGCATGCATATGTATATATTTCTATAGTTATTTATTTATTTACTGAGTGAGACGCAATGTATGCGCCTTGACCACTAGAAAAACCGGGTGTCTAGATTTAGTATGTCACCGATGTTGACGGCTCGTCAGGATCAGGACACTCTGGAAGCCGGTGGACTCTGCATGTTCCTAGTCAGTGGCGATCTTTTCCATGCTCCAAGGCCGGCTCTTCCTCCTCCTCCTCCTTCTGATCATCATCATCATCATTATCATCATCATCCTTTTCATCTAAATTCTGGCCATGGAGCCAGGCGGTGCCGGATGTTTCTACAAACAAGGCCACACAGTCTGTTTATGATGCAGTAGGTGTGTGTCATCAGACGATGCATTCTGACCAGATATCCTGCAAAACGGTAGTCGAGTTGCTACGATATTGACACACTTGTGAATTGGCTCGTCTTCCCGCCTCATTCTGACCCTCGAGTCATTCAGGCGTCTGCAAGCAACGGTTTATGATGCCTTGTCAATAACAATGCAAATGCTATCCACCCTCACACCCACCTCATCGACGAACAAGTCTATTTTGGCGAATTGTGAATGAGACCTAATCATGCATCTGACCCTTTGCTGGGTTTCTTCTCTATTTTATCTCTATTTTTATTATAACTACCACACTATTTTCGAGATTCCTGGTCCAATACACCTTAGAGCCTATCTCTCAGATATGCGAAACCTTGGGTCACTTGGGTCTAGCTTCTTTGGACATACTTACTGTAGAAATATAGAGCTTTCAGATCAGTCTTATTCTTTTAATTCGCCTATCAGCTCTCCGTCAAATAAATTTTCATATTTGGTTGCTTCGAGACTATCAATTCTGAGATTGTTCTTATTCTCGAGAAGAAGAGGAGGTCAACTAGATCTTGAGTCAGCGCAGGTCGTTTAAGGTGGTGTAGGGATGGATAGCTGGAGTGCACACAATTGAATGGACGGATGGTATCGTGATGTGGTTGCCTTATCGCCCATTGGAATTAGGAGGGTTGACGTTGCCACTTGAGGCGCACGCTCCGTTTTCGAGTCCCGTTTGAGAGGCCTATAAGGCCCAGGCCAGGTCGAGCCAACTGCCATCTCTTCCATCACCGTAAACGGCTGAGGCTGACACGAGTTCTTAGTCAATGTCCGCAGAATAGTTGCGAAGCCTACCTTCTCGGTAAAGGAGGATCAGTGCTCAAAGTATCTTTTTTGATCCGGTTCCACTAGATCACATTTAGCAATCTCGTAAAACCACTGATACTTTTACCGTGCGGTATGCAAGTTGGTGTACAAAGCAAGAAGATATGACTGCTTTTCTTAAAACCAAACTCCCAAGTGGACTTCTCTAAATCGTTCCAAATGTTGTCCTCGGGTAGTATCTGCTTTCAGCACAGCCTTGGCTCGGTCAACTTCCCGACGGTGCTCTATTGTTGACGAGAAGTGAACATATTTTGTATGGATTAGTACGTTTGTCCGGTCCACACATCACCCTCTCCTGGCCAGATGGATTAAGGAATGGAGGTAAAATGCGATAATTTATAGTTGCAGCCTCTTCCTGCTTGGTTGCGAAAGGAGTAGGTGTCCAGTCTTTTGGCTTCTGATGTGACCGATATACTCCTTCTCTATCATATTATTCGTCTTCTTTTTCTTCTGCTTTGCTTCTTATTCTCTTCCATGCTTCCTTTCTTGGTCTTCGTCGTTATAATTATCTTACTCCTCTTCATCCTTATTTTCGCTAATATTGCCTTTGATAATGCTTAAAATGTTAACAGTAAGAATAATTTTAATGCATTTTCAAATTCCATGAGTGCGAATTGCCGAAAGACTAATTTGATCCAGTCTCGATATTGAAATCGGAGATACAGAGGCTTGTAATTAGTTCGAGGAATAAGCGGGTGGTCTAATGTATGGCTAGAATGTTTGTGCAAAATGTGTTCAGCCTATTTCGTTTAAGGTGATTAATTATTGGAAATTGAATTTTCCCACAATCATGTGAGTAGACGTTTGTTTCGATTAAATTTCACACATCTGATTTATTAGTAGTCTCGAGACCCTACTTACAGACGAAAAATAAGGTTTGTTGATACTTGCTTACCTTTCATTTCGTTTGAGAGGGCGGGTCGAAAGGATTCGTAGATTGGCTCCATCAGATACCAAAGGAGGGTTGCCTTGGACTTTTGTCTG